ATATAGCCCCTCTGAAAATAAATCACACACACACATACATACACACACACACATAAATATCTACCATTTGTATAAATTATGTCATTTAAAATTTAAAAATATGAAAAAGTAAATACGTTGTTAGGGATACATGCAGTGTTGTGCTGGAGCAGGCTTGTACCAGCTTGGGAAAAACTGGCAAATGTTACAGATCAGGCCTATTTTCCCCCTTCTGCTGAGCCAGTTGTTAAGCATTTACCAGCACACCACTGGATACATGCATATGTAGTAAAACTATAAAGAAAAGCAAGAGAAAAAAAAAGACAGGGAGGTGCACACGGGCAGTATTCCTTCAACAAGGAATGTTCTATTGCTGCTCTTTTGGTATATAAACTACTTAACAAGAAGAAAAAATAAATAAATAGGAGTTAGCTGGATTGAGGCCAGGGTGGAGGGTGGGTGTGGTAGGAGGGTTCTGAGCAGAGGTAGCAGCCTAGATGAATGTGAGAGGAGAAAGAGACTGGTTAGTTTGGGTGATTACAAGTGCTGCAGTTCGTCTGTCTAGCAAGGGGGCATGCAGGGTAGTGGTGAGAGATAAGGGTGGGAAGGGAGGTATCGGATCACAGAGGGCCTGTGTGCAGGGTGGGCAGCTGGGACTCCACTCTGGACACTGCGGAGTATGGTCTTGGCAGGGTAGAGACTAGGCAGGCAGAAGGGTGAGGAAGTTGTAGTGGTCTTGCTGAAAGAAGCCAGAGCAAGCCTGTGGCTAGGAGGAGGAAGAGCAGAGGAGGGGCTGGAGGGGTGTCAGAGGTAGAATGGACTGAGCTGGGTGACTGCTTGGATGGGATGTGAGTGGAAAACAGGGCTCTGCTGCCCTCAGGGAGGTGAAGCATAGTCCCCCACTCTTTAAGGGCAGGCTGCACAGTGACTTCCAAAGAGGACAATATGGATAGGGGGAAAGAAAGTGACTTCACAGTAGAGAAGCCTGACTGTGTTAGTCTATTTCTGTTGCTTATAACAGAATACCCGAAACTGAGTAATTTTTAAAAAAATAGAATTTATTTTTTAAAATAAATTTTTTAAAACCTCAAAAAAGTTCCAGAGGCTGGGAAGTCCAAAGTCCAGGGAACACATCTGGTGAGGGCCTCGTTCTTGGGGTGGTTTACACCAATGCCGGGTGTCACGTGGTAAGAATGGCTGAGCAAGACAGCTAACCCCTCACTTGCTCTCCTTTTAAAGCCATCAGAACCGTGCCCATTACTCCATGAATGCATCAATCCATTCACCAGTGTAGTCCTCAAATCTAATCACTTCCCAAAGGCCCCACCTTTCAATGACCAGAATAGGATTTCCTGCCTTTTTAACACTGTCACAATGGGGATTAAGTTTCATTGAGTTTGGGGGGCATTCAATCCACAGCACTGACAAACACTACCTCAGCCAGGTGATTAAGTTCACAGCAGTAGTGACAGGTCTATTGATTGCATGTACCTTTGATATACTGTGATGTTTGTATCATATTCCTCTGCAAGTCCCATAACTCCAGACTAATCATAAGAAAAACATCAAACAAATCCCAATTGAGGGACATTCTACAAAATACCTAAC